GAAAAAAAAAAACATGGCCCCTCCCCTAAGGGTTCTGCAGAAAAATCGTTTGCGAAGCGCACAACTAGGATCCTCGATAGCCTCGAAACAACAAAAGGCCCATTTGTTAGTATGGCCTGGTTATATAAGGCCCTCAATAACTATCAAAAAGAGGAAAAGTGCTACACAAACCACCCTAAACCAGCCAAATATTGTGAAACACCCAAGAGACAAACTCTGAACCGAAATCCCCAAACCTTCAACACGAAACCTCAAAGAGCAGAAGCTACCAAACCCCAAACCACCGCGAACCCTGAACCCTTAGCCCTGACGCCCTGCAAACACCTACAACCTGATCCCCAACCCTGGGGTTTAGGGTTTAGGGATCCCATACCCCTTCACCAGGAACCTGCCTTATAAGCCTGAAGCCCTAAGCCGAAACAGCTTAAAACCCTGAAAGCTCCAACTACTGGGTTGCTGTTAAGGAACTTAAAGTACATTACTGTGATCAGAACACCCTACCATTTACCATATACCCATATTATGGTAACTTACTGTAAGTTCCTCCACAGTAACCCAGACTAGAAATCTTAAAGACTTTGCTGACCAACTGCAGTCAGAGATGAGACCGAAATGCTCACCGACCTGGTCGTGGGTAAAAAACAAGGGGGTTTAGGGTTTAGGGGTTTAGAGTTTAGGGGTTTAGGGTTTACGGTTTAGGGGTTTAGGGTTTGGGGCTTAGGGTTTAAGGTTTAAGGCTTTAGGGTTTAGGGCTTAGGGGCCTCTAAGCGGGATTGTAGACATGCATAGGGATGTGCTGGGATGTATAGGGTTTATGGCCTGAACATTTTAGCAGGATGGTAAACCACATAGAAAGACAATGGAACTAGATTCATATTCGGCTTGTATGGACGGGCGAAAATAATTGGAATGGGGTTTTGGAGAACAATGCTTTGAAGCTATATAAGGGTTATTCGGAAACAGTATTCGCAGGTATTTAAGCTTCTACGGGTTCTTTTATTTAGCCAAGTTTTAATAATCACAGTAGAATGGCGAGGGTTGCGGTTTTAGGGAGCGCGCTGATCTTAGGAATTGGGGGTGGGGGTGGGGGGTTTATTTAGGGTTTAGGGCTCGGGGTTACAAAGCAAACACGTGCAGAGCTTTCTCTTTTGACCATTGCTTCTGTTGAGCCTGGAGGTCGAACGACACGCCCCTCTGCCCCAACCCTAAACCCTCAAAACGGGGTTGCCCTTCGAGACCTGGGATATTCTTGGATATGCATTACATGATATATCGGGCTAAACTTGCAGGTTGTAAGGGTCACCTTTCGCGATTATGTACAACATCGGGTGCTGCAGGGATATGTAGGATCGTCAGGGGATTGTGGGCGTCCGTATCGGGGGATATGTAGGGATTAGATTGAACAACTGCCGGGTCCAACTTAAATATAGAGGGGCCCTCCGAAACGTTAATAGGTGTTGTTTGACTACACCGATTGTTGGGCGCAAACCCTAAACCCCAAACCCTAAACCCTAAACCCTAAAACCCTAAGCCCTAAACCCTAAACCGCGCCAAGTGTCGCCGAAGTTCCCAGAGTCCCTGGCTGTGAAGTAGAAGACATGGTCCTAGCTCC